GAACTTTTTGAAGGCAAGAGACACCACATGATCGCCTCCAATAGCTCCAATAGCCCATTTCTAGGGCTACCAATCTTTTTGATTAATTCTTTTCAATTGTCCACCATTCGGCTGAATTGAGTCACATTCCAGCAACGATTCATAATTTTTTTTTTTTAACTGAACTCCACAGAACTGAATTTAAGGTTCTGATTATTATTTCTCCGTTGCTTATCCTCATAAGAATCCGCCCACAAATGTTAGGTGTACTTCATCATTGTACACCATTACCTTCTCGAGGAGTTGCCTAATTACAAAGATATAAAGATAAGTCACTGCAGTAGCTGTTCTAAATCTAACTTGTTCTTCGGGGATTACATGCCCACATTCTCCTCTCAGTCTCCGTGCCATATAACCTACTCATGCTACGGGTCAATATTATTTCACGATAATTCAAACAGACGTTTTTGCTAGCTATCTTACTATCAAGGGGGTAACATGGCCAACTTTTTAATGGGGTAAAAATTATATAAAATAGTACACCACAATAATAATGTTATAAATAAAAAAAATTCGGAAACACATTAAATAATTAATACAGAGCAACATTTTCCTATCAAATGTGGGAATCGTTTTTGGACAATTGACACATTTTCTTTTTATATGACAATGAATTTTAAATGTGGGATTATTTTGATTATGTATTTTTTTCTAACGGGAAAACTAGAGCCCGTAGAGGGAAATAATATTAAGAAATACGTTTCCTCTCAATCTTTCGTTCAATGACATTTATGTTAAATTGATGTCTAAAAATTATTTAATTGAGATCTCACATATGTAGGCCGGACCAGTGGTTTCCGAAGTAGCCAATAATAATAATATTTAAGATCAAAATTGTAAATTTGGTAAATAGACTTTCTAAAAATTCATAAATTTATATTTATTAATAAAGTAAAAAATTGTCTATAAATAATCTTAAATATTGAATTTAGATTTTAAGTTTTCCATATATGGTACCGAAAATGGTGGAAAGATTAAATTATATCAACGCTTTAAGGATAACCATGTTACACTTGGTGAGTGGTAAAAAGTTTTTTTATGGTTGACAAGGCTGCTGCAACAAATAAAGATTTTGAGAAAATAAAAAATCGTCTCACGTTTTTTGTCATATTCTGTAAATACTGTTCGTTCTCTTCACCTACCCAATCGTTTTCAATGAGCCTAACAAACTAATAGGCTGCTAGGTTGTGGTAACAAAATATTTTTGAAAAATACTTCTACGACGGAAATATAGGTGTCATAGGTCCATACGATTGCTCTTAAAAATCATTGCTTTGATGCTTTTATCCAAATAAAAAAAAATATAACGATCAGAATTTGTGTAATAATGTAATAGCAATTAGATCATAATTAACGGTAATTAGAGGTGAGTGATAATTCTTGCACTGGCTGTGGAAGCAAACACTTAACCTTCCACAACCACTTAATACTGATTAACGTTTTTATTAGGTTTTGTGATAAAATTGTGGGAGTACACTTAACCCATTGAACTTCAAACAACTTTTATGTACTTGGTTCATTTTACCCAACCCTTCTGACTCCTATTAGTTCAGCTATTAGTTCTATTAGTTCATCTTCAAGTCTTTTCTCACAAATTAACTCTTTTACAGAATTTTTTGGTGATGTTAACCAGTTTAGTTTTCGTGTTAAATTATGCTTTTTTTTTATTATTATTTCTATTTATTAAGCCTAAACTACACTATTTATTTGTCCTTTTTATCACTATTGTATTTTTTAAATTTAGGTACTTGTTTGACGTACAATTTAACGTTCTTCAATTTCTTAAAGAGTACGTTTTTCTCTTCGATGCACAGTTTAAGAGTTATAATAAGTGAAAAAAACAGAAAAAAAAAAGATTAGAAAAAATCTTTTTTTTCTGGCTGTAAAAAGATTTTTACAACAATTTTGTTTTTACGCGCTTGAACTCATATATACTAGTTAAAAGCATAAAACCTTTTTCCACATTTTCAGCAATAAATTTCCTTTTTCGATCCTCATGCTACTAATATTCTTTAAATTATCCGCCATTATTTTAAGGTATCATGACCCAATTGGCAGACTCTCATTTTTTAAATTTTATGAATATTCCGAAAAATGCTTTCAAAATTTTCTTCAGATGATGTCAATTTTTTTGCAAGTGTTCTCAGACTATAATAGCTCGTCTACGAATAGACATGGACCGACTCACCAACTGCTATTTGTCAACGAACGATTCAGCGTTAGAATGTCAGGATTACCAAATAGTATTAACCGTGAAGCGTTTAATCTATGACTGTCCTAAGTACAGCAACATGGACAATTTAGATATTCCTCGATCTAAAAGATATTCCTCATAAGGCACTAAATGATGATTACAATCACAACCTCGACAATGTCATTAACTTAAAGGAGATGGAACTTTCCAGCAAGATATAAGTGCACGGAAAACCACAAACAAAAAGTAAGGAGATGATAACGCATAGAAGTTTTTTTTAAGTGAAAAATTATTTAGGCACGTTTAACATTTTTTTTTTCTTTTTTGGAGAGTGAATTAGATTGAGCCGTCAGATCTCCGATGTGAAACGATTGGGTAAAGTTGGGTGAAGTAACTAATTGAAATGTTTTTGCCTATGGTTTAAAATATCTTAAAAACTAAAAATCGGAGCTGCATATTGTTAGCGAGGGAACTGTTCTTCATTTCATCCTCTTGGTAAAGAGCTATTTTTCAAAATGTATCTTAACGCAACGCCGTGTTAGAGAGGCAAAAAGGGAAACAATAGCGTCAAAAACCAAATGATAACGAGTTTCGTTGAAGATATGGATTAAAATATCCCACAAACTAAAAGTCGAACCTGCATACTGTAAGCTAGGGAATTTTTCATCTTCTCTGTAATAGGCCATTATTCAAAATTGTATCTTAACACAACACCGTGCTAAAGAGGCGAAAAAAGAAAAAAATATTAAAATGAAAATCAAATAATAACGAGTTTTACCTCAGAAACTAAAAATCGGATCTTCATATTGTAAGAGAGGGAGATTTTCAGAATTTCATCCTCTTTATAATGAGCTTTTATTTATAATTTATACCTCATATTATTGTTCCCGTCTTGGTGATGTTTTCATTTCTATTTATCTTTTAATCATTTATTGATATTTATGAGTACAACTGCATATGTAATATATATATATATATATATATATATATATATATATATATATATATATATATATATATATATATTAATCTGTTAAAAGAATCTGCTAAAAGAATATAGAACATGATAAGAACTCGTGAAAAAGGTACTCATTGGTAACACTTCAAAGATTAGATTAATTTAGGAGGATCCATGGCTATCTTCTTTTATGACGCTTTAGAGGAATTGTTTTGGAAAAAAGGTTATGAACTAGAAGATTGGAGTGACCAAAGAGTTTGGAATTAAAGAGGAATACTTAATTTGGACCACGTCTTCAACAAAGGGAATGCTGAGGTGTTTATGGATAATTTTATTGATGACACAATAGGAAGCATTAAGGATTCCAATGATTTTGTGGAGACACAAAGTTCAATTCTATATTTCCAAATGGACCTGATAGTGGTATGCATATAAGTTTTTTATAGAGTTTAGGAAGTTTGCAGCGTTTGTCTAGTAAGTGTTATATTAAAAGCCAAGTAAGGCGTTTGTCAAGAAGGAGTCCTAGGTAATGGATCGGTTCCATAGAGAAAATAAAAAATAAATGAATAATATTAACAAGCACAATTTTCTGTTATTGCTTAATAAATTTGTCGCAATAGAAACAAACTTAAAAATATATTAGAGTAGTAAATAGGGAAATCGGATCGTTGGGCTCATCACAAAGAACATGAAATACTGAACATTTTCGTTGTCTACAGTATGCAAGTGTGATGTTTAGTCAGATACTTTTATCCATATGCAAAAACACTTCAAGTGGTTGAATAATGACGCGTATTAACGCGACGCCGTATTAGAGAGGCGAAAAGGGAAAAAACAATGTCGAAAATAAACTGATAACGAGTTTTATTGAAGGTATGGCTTAAAATATCTCAGAAACTAAAATTCGGACCTGCAAACTGTAAGCTAGGGAATTGTTCAATATTTCATCTATTCTGTAATAGACTATTATTCAAAATTGTATCTCAACGCGATAAAGAGAAAAGTTTCTTAAAACCTCAAATCGACCTGTCTGAGCTGGCAGACGAGAGTTTTCGTAATACCTAAAAGGAGTATTAATAATCTGTTTGGTTGAAAATTTGCTTAAAATACTAGGGTAAATGCACCAGTAGCTGACATGCTGAAAGAAATTTCTTTTAACATTTATGTGTAAAAATTTAAATATTGAAGCTGTTATATTTTTCATGGATTCATCTTATAGAACTTTTTCTCACATTACCAAGACATTTCAAGTCCATAAAACATTTATTAAAAAAAAAAAAAAAAAATGAAAATTAAGAGAATTGTTTTGTTGTACCAGTAGTTGACTCTGTTTGATTTGAAATATTCCTATAGCTGGCAGGGATGAAACAATTAAGGGAAATTTCATATTCTTCACTTTTAGATTAACAAAAATTACCTCTAACTTATTATAAAACTACCTTCTTGCGTTTCCCGACTTAAATTTATGAATCAACTTTTTTCAAATTATTTCAGTTGCAATTTCTGGCAAGACTAAAGCAAAGCTGACAAAAATAGGATGAGAAAATATATAAACTAAAAATATATGAAATAGAGGTCTAGGAGGTCATGAAATTTTATTATTCTCATTTTTCGAGGAGGGTGTCAGGTATTGGTGCACTGTTAGCTTTGGTGTTTTTTCCTACGGCAATTTTGGCTCAGGGTCTATTAACAAACCCGGTGCACAACTCGATTAAAATGTTTTTAATCAAGATTAAGCCAACCGCGGAATCAAAGAAGACGTTAAAAAAACAAGCATAATAACTGCAGTCATTGAGAACGCTCGTTGACAGATGAGGTCGTAGATTTGTTGCGATAAGGTGAACCTGTCCCTGACGGAAGGAAGACTTGCTAGGGGAAGTGTTGGAAGTGCTTCCTATAGCGCGGGCCTTGCGGCTCGGGGAGGGGGTGCTCTCTGCTGCCCAGTTCGCGGCAGGCGGCCTATCGCTTCGCTCCTCTGGTTCTTCGCTCTCCGATAGCAAGGTAATGATCAGTAACTGTTGGTGAGTAGTCTCAGTGGCAACAGGGGGAATCTTCCATTCAATTCAATATCGAATTACCATACTGGCATTTTCTGAAAAAAAAAAAAAAAAAAAAAAATGAAAACGACGTTTGTTTTCTAAAAATACAACTCCAAATTAAGCCCTTCAGTTGACAGAACGACTAACTCCTACTTCAACAGTTTTGATATTTAATTTTAGTGATATTTCTAGTGAGAAAATTTATACCTTTATTCACTGTTCTATATTTTAACACTGCAATCAACCCCTACTCTGGAATCATCTTACTCACTGTCTGTACAGATATTATAAATTTTTAAACTAGAAATATCACTGCAATGACTTTACTGAAAATTTTGAAATTCAAAATTGAGATAGTCATACTGTCAATTGAAATGCTCAATTAGGTACTTGTTACCGGCGACTGATATTTTTTGACTCTGCGTGATTAGTTTGGCTATTATTTAAATATTTTTCTGTGTACTATTTTTCCACCCGTAATTATTTAATATTATTATAAAGGGTGAATAATATGGGCATATTAACTATAGAAAACAAATATAATAATTGATATACAGGATTAGTCGGTTTTTAATAAAAGATACTTTTTAACTTTTTTTTAACACAAAAAAAAATCTAATAATAAATTTTTTTTTTAATAATGAACATAATAACATGATAATTATTTATTGTTATTTTGCTTCTATTTATTTTATATTTTTTGTAAATATAGTGTAAATGTTATCCTACCTCACTATAACTAATATCCAAGCGACAGATTGTTGTAATACTCCATAAATGAATTTTAAAAAATGAATAAAACTCAAACAATGTGAATTGAAACGAAAATTATACTTTAATAAACGTTTTGAAATACTCAATAAATAAATTTGTTATTTTGAAAAAGATTAATAACAAAAACAATAGTGAATGATACATGAAAAAATTAAATGAAAAAAAAAACAGATTTAAAACAGACGTGATAGCAATATTTATATGTGAATTTGGGAAGACTAAAAGTAAAATCAGGAATTAGTTAATTACTTTTTTTCTTTCTTTTTCTCTTTTTTTTTTTTTTTTGGCTTTTCTCTGCAAACAGTTAACCTATATTTGCCAATGCTTAGTCCTGTTACTATTCTAAGGAGGTTTTTCTCATGTTCCTTTATCTGTCTCTTATCAAGATCCCTACGAGAGAACTAGGAAAAATTAGAAAATAGCTCTTGTGGATAAAATAGCTAAAATAAATAATGAGACAGTCCAGGAAATAATTTTAAAACAATGGTGACTTTATTGTTAAGAAAAAACAGCTAAATGCATTTCTTTATCTCTCTTCTATCCAATTTAGTAATCTTCTTAAACTATTTTAATCAATAAAACACCAGCAAAATATTCAGAGTGGTAAAAACTTAATATAGTGATTTTAAGTCCAACCAAAAATACAGCACGATTCATATCAGCTGATGATCAACATTTTTTCAAAATACAAAACTCTTTTAAGTAACAGTAGGATAGAAGAATAATTAAAATTAAGAGAAAACTAAGCAAGGAATGATTATATATTACAGTATAACAAATTTAGTATATTTTTTAGCTTTCCTCTTGACTAATCATATTATTTATTTTAGTTTTTTATCCAAAGAGGTATGCAATTTTCATACTTTTTCAGAGGGGGGTTTTCTTCAGAGAAAGATAAAGCAAAATAAATATTTCATTTTCGTTCTCAGTAAAAGTCCCGTAGAAAAGTAACAGGAAGAAGTACCATCAGGAATGAACATTAACTCCTTGCAGAAAAAAGTCAGAATAACTAATTCTTGATTTTTTATTTTCTTTAATGTTCTCAAATTTACATATGAATATCGCTATCATTTCTACTTTAAACCTGTTCACTTTCATTTAAAATGTCGTATTATTATTCTACTTTTTTTATAGGCTTAAAATAAGTAAAAATAGATATTTTATTAAAAGTAAACTAACTAACAATAAAACGAGATATATAAAATAAAATGATTTGTTTTATTACGTTAGGTTAAGATTTTAAGCAGATTGTTAAAAAAAAGTATAATGATATTGTAGCACCTGATATTATTTAAAAAAAGCTGTTTCGAATAAGAACTGAGCATTTCATTTTCATCTTGAAACTTAAGTTGAAGGTTAATTGAAAAATATTCGGAATAAAATATTAAATTTACATCTAGGTCGAAGAAATACATCAAACCTTAAATCTATGTTCATTCGTACATTCAGCTGAGATAATTTGCTATTTTGAAATTATGAAGTCAATTTGCATAAAAATTAATGTAAAAGTTTTTTTTTTAAATATTATACTAGTTATAATTTATAATAGTGTTTATAAATTGTGGTTATGATTATAAATTATCATTTTTTTTTATAAATAAGGTTTATGATTATAATTTTAATTATTTGTGTACTAATTGAAATTAAGTTTAGAGAAGATCTATGTCAGAATTATTTATCAGTTTCGTCATAATTGCTAGTTCGCCAAAATGACGGAAAATTATCCGAAATAAATGTTTATATAAAGAACATTCAACTCATATGAAATAATGTAATTCGATTTAATATTCGTGTATTATAATACTTTTTTTTATATTTTTGTAATGCATTCATATATAACTAATTTATGTATTCACAATTAGTTTTAAGACACAAAGGAATATTATTTGACGTATTCAATATCCTTAAACTTAATTTTTAGAAAAAAATCTTAGGCTTATAATTATCAGCATTTATTTTTAAATATAATAAATAATAACGATATTTAAAAAATAATTTGAAGTTTGTTAAGGAGAAGAAATTTAGTGATTCGGCCGTTTAGTGTAACTGGACCAAGGTAAAGAAACATGTTTTTCCGAAAACATTTACCTAGTTTTTGAGTAAAATTGGTTAAATGTTAACGACAGCTTCCAAAAATTAAAGAAAATTACAGTCATAATAGTGAAGTGACTCCATTAGGAATACCAATATTCCATTTCTTCGTCTATTTGACTGTCGAGTGGTTCTATGAACAGAAACTGCTGTTTATTATTGCCCTAATAACTAGACAAAACGAAATAAAGTATACTTCTGTCCTTTAGTTCTATTTATGATGTCCAAATTTTTTCTGTTCACAAATATGTGGCTGTTTGATCCTCATGGCTTTATTTATTTTATAACATACAAATTTTAAAAGACGTTCCGACCAGTACTAGAACCATTTTCAATTTAAATATAATCTTAAATATTAAATTTTTCATAAAAATATTAAAATTTTTATTATTTACATACATAAAATCATAATTTATCTGCTCATTATACTCATTTTATTTTTTACAGTATTTATTTTTCTATTGCCAAGCACATACGTAAAATTTTTTCTCTGTATATTTTTTTCTTTTCACTTTGCGATAATTATTTGAAGTGTCACACAGGAATAAATGGCATACAAAATGATGATATTTTCACGAAATGGGATTCTGGTATAGACATACGTTTCTATAAAAATAGAAATAAAATTGGGATTAATAATGTTTAACTGTAACTAATTATATTTAAAAATTAAAAATAAGGTTATTAAATGTCAATGTAATATATAGCAAACTAATAATATTTTATCAAAATAACTATGGTTATTTACTTTTTATCTCTGAATTCTGTATATATTTATATCGGTAAAAAAAGATATATAATATATATATATATATATATATATATATATATATATATATATATATATATATATATATATATAAGGTATATATTTTGTATGTTTTAGCTGTTTATGTTTTAATATAAAAAATCAAGTTCTTTTCTAGAGGTTTTGATTTTTCTTTCTATACACGTAACTCTTTTTTTCTTTTTTCAAATACAATGATAATTATAGTTGAGAAGATTTTATTTTATTTTTTATTCATTTACACACTATTGTTTAAGTTGTTGTATGTATTCTTTGATTCTTAATTATGTTAGTTTTTGGCCAGATATGTATTTTTTCTTTTGTAACTGTTCATTATTGTTATTCTACGGGGACATCGTCCCAGTATAAAGTTTATCTTCTATTCTCTCTCTCTCTCTCTCTCTCTCTCTCTCTCTCTCTATATATATATATATATATATATATATATATATATATATATATATATTTATATATATATATATAAAATTAATTTTCTTATTTTTTACTATCAAGGACAATAAGCAATAGTAGAACAATATCAATATTGCAATAAGGAAAAAAAAATAAAACATTTAATAAATCTCGATCGTACTAGACACGCGGAAAAATTAGTAAGAAATTCCATCAGGCAGATTAAAGTTTTATTGTTGTCGCTCGCGAACTTATGAAGGATTTGTAAATAAACAATATCATCATTTAGACACGTGTATGATAAAAATGGATCTAAGTTCCGTTTATAAAATGGTATACATATCATTCTTATTGATATACTTTTTAATATTATTATTTAAAAAAAAATTAAAAAATGTCTAATGTAAATAATATAAAGCAACATATATATATATTTATAGACTCATAAGAATATACATATAAATGTTTGCTATGTTATGGGCATTAGTCGCATACATTGTTTAAATTGCTGATCAAATATCTTTATAAATCAGTGTACTCAGATGCATTTTGTCAAACTTTATGATAAATTATTTATGATTCATTTTAAATCAACAAAACGACATCATATTGTGGATAATGAAGTCCTTCAGTAATCGCCTATTTCGAATATTGATTTTTTTGAAGTGAAAACTTCTTTAGGTGTGTCATTTTTTTGTGGATAGTGAATTATATGAGCCGTCAGATCTCCGATGTGAAACGCTCGGGTAAAGTCGGCTTAAGTCAACTAATTGAAGTGTTTTTGCCTATGGATTAAAATATCTCAAAAAGCAAAAATCGGAGCTGCATATCGTTAGCGAAGGAAATGTTCATCATTTCATCCAATTGGTAATGAGCTACTATTCAAATTTGTATCTTAA